TGGGGGGGGGGGGGGGTCCTGGCCAGATGAGCCTTCCCTGGGCTGCCCGGGGCAACTTTATCTCCAGGACGTTTGAAGTGTTTCAGTATTTCTCCATCTTTCCTTGAAGTATTTCTCCATCTGTCCTGAGGAGTCTGCAAAGCAAACAATATTTGAGCAAATCAATATTTGTTTTCCCCACGGCATTAACTAAAGCCAGTCAGAGATGGCTCTGGTGGGAACGGAGTGAACCAGGAGGCACTGTCGGGCCAGTCCAAAACAAGGCTCCTGGCCCAAGCTCAGCCCTGGGCTGGTCTTCGTGGCAGGGGTGTCCAGGAGGGGTTCTGCAGGAACCCCTGCAGAAACAGTGAAGGCTGAGCTGCCTCGAATCCCAAGGCCATCCAGGAAGGTGAATCAGGCTGGGCAAAGGCCACATGTGAGAAGAATCCCAAGAGCTGCAGAGAGGAGAGAGGTGGGGTGGGGCTAGGGAGAATCTTGGGGTCAGATTCTAAAAAGCTAGGGGGACACCCTGAGTGTGGACTTGATCCCCCTGGCACCAGGGAGCAGAGGAGGGACAGAATGGAGGGAAGCCCCTCTCACGCACACCATGGCCCTGTTCACACAGCCTTCCCCATGCTCCCGGCCCCTGGCCCTTCCCTGGGCCCCCCAGGAGAGAACCTGCCTGCTGATATCTACTCAGTGCTGCTGGCAGAGAACTCGAGGCTGCGGGCAGAGCTGGACAAGACGCACCACCAGTCGGCCCCCATCATCCTGCAGCAGCAGGCCCTGCCTGTGAGCACCACCAGCCTGGGCTTGGCCAGGGCCTGCCCATGACAGTCCCTGCGTGCCCCGTGGTCACCCACAGCACAGTCCAAGCTAAAGACCAGAAGCCAGGTTGCCGGTCTCCAACCCACCTGGCGGCGAGCCCTCGGGCCTGGCTTTTTCTCCAGGGGAGGGCATGCACTTGCACCCCCACTTAGCATCCTGGGAGAGAGCGAGCCCCTCACTGATCCATGACCCTGCAACTCCAATCCCTCTGCCACCCGGCTGGCCTCCACCTGGACGCCACACAGGCCTCTGAGAACTCCCCTCGGCAGCATCTGCAGGGTCGGTGCAGCCTGGGAGAGCCCTTTCCCCACCTCAGGTGGACCCCTGGGAGCTGGGAGCAGGAGACCTAGCAGAAAGGCTGCGAGAGGCAGAGGGCCCAGGTGGCTCCCGGGACACGGAGACCCAGGCCACACAGGTGGGTGTCCCAGCGCCCACCTGCCTCTGCTCCACGCAAACTCCAGCATGGAATGGGTGGGCGGACACAGGCAAGCTTCCCTCTTCCGGCCAGGCCTGGCAGGAGGCAGGTTCTGTCTGAAGGCAGACCTGCTGCCTGGACGTCCAGGTGAAGCGTAAGGGACAGGACCCTGGCCACACAGAAGCACACCAACAGTCTCGCAATGAAGGACTCCCTTCTGCACGCTACACAGGAAGAGTGCTGTGCCCAGCTCTGTGGGGAGCCGGCCCTGAGAGGAGCCCACGCAGGCCCGGCCTGAACTCCAGGGACACGTCCTGCTCAGAGCTGTGGCTCTCTACGGAGCCGCTGAGTTCAGACCCCAGACCTGGCTGGTGCTCCCACAGCCAGCAGGACCACATGTGAGCATTTGCTCTGCCCCCAGGACCTCCTCTCGGGCACCTCAGAGAAGTTCAACCTCATGGCTAAGCTGGAACGAGCTCAGAGCCGGATACTGTCCCTGGAAAGCCAGGTGGGTGGGATGCAGGGGTCCACGGGGCTGGCCGGGACCAGCATGTGACCAGGGACAGGGCTCAGCGTGTGACCAGGGACAGGGCTCAGCATGTGACCAAGGCCACTGCTCAATGTGACCAGGGACAGGGCTCAGCGTGTGGCCAGAGTGAACTCTCAGTGTGGACTTGGGGTCAGGCCTCGGAATGTTCCTGGAATGCAGAGAAGGCCCTGTCACCTCACCCTGTGCCCTGAAGGTGTCTTATCTACTGCCCAGAGCTCTGCTTCCTGTCCGGAGAGCAGACCCAGCCCTGGTGGCCCCTTGTCCTCTGTCTGTCCCTTTCTTTCTTTTTTTTTTTTTTTTTTAAAGTTTTTCTAATAGGACCGTGTGTCTTC